ATTGTCCCGAGTAGATTCCAGCAGGGACTTTTGATAGTACTTTTTCTGTAGATTATGATGCGCTAAACAGTAGCCGCAATTTTCTTTTCAAAGGAAAAATATGGGCTGGTGAATTGTGGAAAAATCTGTCGTTCCAAATTCTACTCGCCATAGCCATAGAATATGATGCTCTCTTGCTAAGCAGATGTGATTATCGTAATCAGCAGGTCGGATAACCACTATGAGCAAGTTTTCCGAGATTTTCGGGTCATTTCATTTTTTCTCGTTTTACGCTCTGGAAGCTCGCCGATGGATTTTGGTCAAAATGTTGATGCTCCTGAATTGTAAGGAAACTTCGCTTATAGAGGTTTTCGAACACGCTATTTACGAAAATCGTGGTCTTTGAGGATTACAGGATCTTTTTGGAGAGATACGATGAGGTGATTGTAACTGCATCACGAAAGTGCGTAAATTTAGCCGCACTTCTCGCGTATCTCTCAGAAACCTTGCTTGCTTGCTTTCCTAAGTCAAAGTGAATAGGAACTGAGCTATCCAATGGTGCATGAATCGCGCTTCAGTCTATAAAATTCGCCGAGTTACAAGCCTTCGAAGACACGTCCTCATGAAATTTGCACAAAATGTAAAGATCGCGTACTTTATTGAAATTCCATCGTGAGCGGTTGTATAAAACGCGGGCGGGGTAAACATAACATTTGCAATTAGTCATGCAACCGCTCACGATGGAATTTTAATAAAGTACGCGATCTTTACATTTTGTGCAAATTTCATGAGGACGTGTTTTCGAAGGCTTGTAACTCGGCGAATTTTATAGACTGGAGCGCGATTCATGCACCATTGGATAGCTCAGTTCCTATTCACTTTGACTTAGGAAAGCAAGCAAGCAAGGTTTCTGAGAGATACGCGAGAAGTGCGGCTAAATTTACGCACTTTCGTGATGCAGTTACAATCACCTCATCGTATCTCTCCAAAAAGATCCTGTAATCCTCAAAGACCACGATTTTCGTAAATAGCGTGTTCGAAAACCTCTATAAGCGAAGTTTCCTTACAATTCAGGAGCATCAACATTTTGATTAAAATCCATCGGCGAGCTTCCAGAGCGTAAAACGAGAAAAAATGAAATGACCCGAAAATCTCGGAAAACTTGCTCATAGTGGTTATCCGACCTGCTGATTACGATAATCACATCTGCTTAGCAAGAGAGCATCATATTCTATGGCTATGGCGAGTAGAATTTGGAACGACAGATTTTTCCACAATTCACCAGCCCATATTTTTCCTTTGAAAAGAAAATTGCGGCTACTGTTTAGCGCATCATAATCTACAGAAAAAGTACTATCAAAAGTCCCTGCTGGAATCTACTCGGGACAATGCTCGCTGCTTCACACTTACGAGAAGAAACGTCCGCAGAAAGATTCAAGAATACTGAAATCGAGATATCAAGGACATGCTGTATACCAAAACATTCGCCTTGATGAGCTGAGCAAGGAGCTGTTTTCGGATTCAGAATATACCTATTCCGAAGGAAGTTATGGCGAGTAGAATTTAAAGACGCGTGATTTTTGCAGTATTCACCATCTCTTTTCGCGCTTTATAAAGCATGTCTCCGTTTACTTTTTACCGCCGAATTATCTACGGAAACAACTCTTTCCGATTCGCCTTACCGGAATCTTTTAAGTGTGAAAGGGGCTGGCCCATAGCGTTGCAAATAGGCGTCTGCAGAAAAAAGTGAAGTTTTGCTGAAAGCCGAATATCATAGTCATGCGGTGTGTCACTTTGCTCACACAAGCAACAAGATATGCTGATTACAAAGATTATAATCAGGGTTGAGCGTGGGGTCAAGCGCGCCCGACCTGGGGGATCGTATTGAGGGTAAGACTGAGGGGGAGGGGTCGTAATTAAGAATCGAATCTGTTAAGTTGGGGAGATACTGCAAGGTGAAGAAGAAATGCGTTAGTCCGGTGGATATCGCGATCACACGAAGGAATGACGGTCATAAACAGCATACTGATTGTTTCCACAATGGAATTTTTAGCCACAATTCAAATCTTCATCTCTTTCACCTTTACCTAAAAAGTGGTGCCAAAATTCTAACCGGCACGTTTTTCACGCTGAGTGCTCCAACTCCTCGGATTAGCACAAGGCAGAAACAACTCGAATCAAGCTCAAACACTCACTGTGGAATCTTCGAAGGTTGAGCTAACGAATCACATAAAACTTGGGTAGAAAAGCATTTTCGGAAATAAAGTTATTGGGGTCAGGCGCAACCCCTCAAAAGGTCAAGCCGCCTGAGCTTTTGAGGGGTTGCGCCTGACCCTTTTAACTTGCGTTCAAACTTCAGAAATCGCCCCTTTTTTGATATGAGTATTGAGCGTAAAGCCTCTTTTTGCTATATTGAAAATTTGGAGCGAAACACTCCATCTCTGTGAAAATTATAGCTTTGAAAAAAGGGTTATCTAGATTTAAAACTTACCGTCAAGCTGTGTGTGGTTGTATCGCAGAAAGTCGGGCCTACGAATTTCAAAAAATAGAAACCTGCATTGAAGGCTAATCTTCTTCAAAATATAACACCCTGAGGACTTGGAGGTGAAGCGGAGGGTCTTTAGGGGTTTTCACAGGGGGGAGGGGTCGTTTATGAAGGGCTTCTGCCTGACCTCTTGCTCAACCCTGATTGTAATTGTTTTGCTAATCATAGTGTTACTGTATAGTTATGTTTGTTCGACGGTAAGTTGTTCATATATATTTACTAAGTTCACGTACTCCTTTCTCTTTTTTCCACTACAAAAAAGGATATGGTTTTCTGCTGGAATCACTCAGCAGAACTCTTCCATCAAACGCTCTTTTTCTTAAACTTTTGCCTACATTATGCGCCGAAATACACGCTCTAGAAAACACCACCACAGGATGCAACGGATTCCTACCATACCTTCGATAGTCTAGAGACAGGGCGTCAAAAGTGAAGGTTGTTTGAACATCTGACGTCATAAATAGTGAAGGTTGTTTAAAGATGATCAGAGAAGAGGAAATGACATAAAACAGATACAAAAAGCAAAAGAAACTGTTGAAAATAGGATAAAAACGCTGCAATGAGGCTTGAAATCTTTCGTTTGGCGGCTTTTCAAAGTGCAAGTTTTCGCTTCAGGACCAGCAATTCGCAACACGGGGCTAGATTTTTGATGCGTCCTTTGAATTTTTACCCCCGCATTGACGTTCCTGTTTGCCGAGACGTTGTCTGGATTGCTGCGCTTATTGTTCTGAGCAATAGTCGCCCAAGCTGGAAAAAAATCAATGCGAAAGCACTGAAACAGAACAAGGTAAAGAAAAACGCCCTTTTTACGATTTTTTGCAATAAAATCCACGATAATCGAAAAGATAAAGGCTGGGTGGTTGTCTGCATTATGAACAGAAGCAAGATCTATAGAATGCGCGGAAAAACCGATTAAAAAGAGGTAAACTAGAAGAAAAACAAGAGATTTTCGAAAACAAGGTTCTTGCCGGATTTCTCGTTCAAATCAAGAAATGTGATTTTGGGACGTTGTCAGCGTGAAAATATAGATCAAGAGCTTCAGAATGATATATAGCTTGCTAAAATTGGGTTCGAAACAGCGAAGAAAAGGGTACCAGAGCCAAATGCCCCGCGCCCCGCGTTTGAGGTAGCGAGGTAGAGCGCAGCGCGCGGAGACGCAGACCAGCAGCGGAGACAGACCAGAGCCGACGGGGCATTTGGCTCTGGTCGTAGATCTCGTCGGGGTCTCAACGAAACCCTGTAACCTTATATATCATTCTGACCGTCATGACACGACGAGGAGAGCTGACAACGTCCCAAGCTTTAAAAGTCACTTACTAACGAGATAGACCAGCATTTTTGTGCGCGACTCTCTGCGCACAATTAAGCGCAGTTTCTCATTTTAATTCAACTCCAACAGCTTTCCAAACTTTTGAAACTCATTTTTGGTCAAGTAGGAGGCTAACTGAGGAACTTTGTCCTGAATTCTGAGGAAATTTTCACAGAAATTCTCTTTTCAGCGTAAAAAAGGCTTCAAATAAGCAATTTTTCGGTTTCGCTGAGACATTCTTCAGAATTCTTTCCTATATTTGGTTCATTCACATTCTTCCGATATAGTCAGGATAATAACATCCGGGGCGAAGCCCTGGATGACTTCTGTTTTTTTCCCAGGTGAAGGTTGTGTCCCCTCATAGCCCTCAAAGTGAAGATTACCAGAGTATGTGGCTCTATGTATCGAGGGTATGATTCCTACCATGCACTTACCGTAACCGAGCCGATTACAACAGTTCAATATATGGAAAGGTTCGTCTTGGCGAGCTGAATCCAAATCTGCCTTCAAATTTGAAATCCATTGAGAACGAAGGGAGTTATGACGAAAAGACGCAAAGTCGGCGACATCGGCGACATCGGCGAATTCGGCAACATCGGCGAAATTGGCGAATTCGGCGAATTCGCCGAAATTTTTCACATTCCACTGTCACAACTGTATGTAAGATTCATGTGATTGTTTTTGATCAAGTCACTTTCGTTCAACTTTACAAGAACACGAAGCTCTAGCTGGATCTAGAGCTTCGTGTTCTGTTTTTTTATGTTCTTTTATCTTCTCTTGCGGCTGAGGACTGGCTGGTCTCATTGTTTGTTTGGACCTTGTCTTTATTTCTTTCTCATTCTGGCGCACCTCGAGTGTATTTATAAAATAAAATAAAATAAAATAAACTTCTCTGTTATATTCTGTGATCGGAAGTCTCATAACTTCTGCTTGATTTATACTAATGAGATATCCTTCACAAGCAAACTTGCTCAAGGGCCAGCACTTACTAATGAGCGCCTTTTATCCGAAAACAGAGTCGAACATGATTTGAAATGCTGGAAATTCAGCTGCAGTCATTTACGGACTTTAAACCGAAGTAAACCAAAATAGACTTTAAAGAATATGTTGCGAAGTGTTTCTAGCTTGTTGCTACTACGTTTTCAGTGATCAAAGTGCACTGACGTTGTTTGCACTTGACAATTAAATCTTTACTTCACACTGTTTCAAAACATTCAAAGTGAGTGTGGCTTTGAAGAAGCATGCGTCCTCTTCCTTCTCGCCCCCCCATAACAAACGCAGATCCTCCCAACAATTGCATACCCTATCACTTTACAATGTCCATGTAGTTCTCCCTAAATAAACACATGAAGCAAACCACCACGACAATTGCAAAACAAGTTTTATTCGAATGAAAGCGCAGTTTTTCTTGGCACAGCACGTGCGTTCGTCCTTTTTGCAGCAAAAGGAACGGCAAAGATAGAGAGGAGGCAGCGCAGAAAAACGGATACAAATTTTCGCAGAGAGAGAAGAAGTCACAAAAGCAATATAGAGAGCATAGTTAAGGGACTTATTGTTTTTGTAGGTTCTCCCGCTATGCGCCGCCTCAATGTGGGTGATATCAAAATTTTAAGTTCTGACAATTTCAAAGTTCTTAGGGCGCCGTTTGAATTATACTAAAAAACGACCCATCTGCGCGGACCAGGGCTTGGCCAATTGGCGTCGGGTCAAGCTAGATATCGTTTTTTGGGACAAACAGAGGGGATATCGTTTTGGTGGCGAAAAAGACACAAAAGTGCGACGTCGTTTGTTTTGAGGGCTTTCAACGTTCGGAGCTCAGGATCAGAGGGGATTTCGTAAGAGAATTTCAAGATCAAACGATGCTTTGTTTTAAAATTTCCTTGGTGCCAGCTCGTGCGGAGCCCTCGCACGGACAATGCGCCATGAAGACTTCTTATGCTCTGCATCTACATCGTCAAGACAGTCTCCACAAACACTTTCCTCGAAACAGCAGAGCATATCGAGTACAAAATTTATCGCTCTGCAAGAAACGAAGACCGAAGAAGGATGTGCGAAGACAAGTGATAAACCCTTATTTGTGGTGTCTTCGCAAAAGTTGAGGGCGTTGGCTTTCTAGTTCATCAATCTATCGTCCAGCTTGTCGATTCGCATGAGATCCTGTCACCTCGACTAGCTGTCCTACGATTACAGTTGCAGCGGTAGAATTTGTCCAAAATTGCGGGATTGTCGGGATTCGCGGGATTTTCGGGATCCGCAGGATTTGCGGGATTGACTTCACGGGATTTGTGGGATTCGCGGGATTTGCGGGATAAGCGGGATTTAGCTATAACTTCTTTTAAAACAGCTTTACTTGTAATCTGCGTGAAGATTTGGCTTCAGCTTGATGAGACGAATCTTCTGGTATACAATATGTCCGTAATTCATAGTGACATGGTAGACATATGGTGATACCTTGTTATTTTCTAGTTAAGGCTTTTGTGAACATCTATCACCGTGTAAATCGCGTATAGGAGGTTCTGGTACGAATCATTATCGAAAACTATCGCGAAAAATTGGGCACTTTTTATTTACCCTTATCACTGATATAAGCGTTTTATCATTTATCACTGATAATGTCACATTTTTCGATCATTTTTGGCATATGGTAAGAAAAATAGTGTAGGAAACGCTGCATGAATTTCTGTTGCTCTTTCTCTCATTATAAGTGATCTACAGGATTTCCTAGTTCTATTGTTCGGTCAACTGGTAGATCCCTCGCTGCAGCAATCGATCGATTTCTCATCGGCACATGCCATAGCTGCCAATTCTTACCATTTTTGCTTCTACTCGCTTCACGCCGAAGCCTGGGCTGGAATTCTGCACCTATATGGAAGATGAACGTGGGAATCGACCGCGTGAATTTGGGCCATTCTTATCTGCCGTTGTCACTGATATCACCATTTTATCATTTATCACTGACCAGTCCAAAGCGCCGCTTTGCGGCGCTTTGGACTGGCTGTGTGTGTGTGTGTGTGTGTGTGTGTGTGTGTGTGAATTGGGTTGTGATCAAAAGATGAAAATTTTGGAAATTTGTAGCGAACCTTTTCCTCGCTAAAAGTATGGCACAGTTTTAAAAGCGCGACGACCTCAAAGATTATCAATTCATGGATTTTTCCTGCGGAATTTCAAGAATTTTTTTCATTAAAAGTGGCAACAGAATTATGACTGCCTTTCTTCCAACTTCTTCTAGCCACATCGCTCCTTCCTTTGCTCTACAGATACTCGTAGTATAGGGTTTTGCTATCATCCAAATCCCCCCCCCCCCCTCCCTCCACCCTCTACTCCTTTTCACTCAGAAGCAAGCACCCGTCCCATACCCGACAAAGCTTTACCAACCACGTGCACTCTTCCCACCTGGGGCTCTGTTGCCCACACTGAATGGTCTCCCAAGCTGCCTTAGAACCTCCACTTCCCCAAAAGTTCTTGCTCAGACTACTCTTATCTCTAAATCAATTTAGCGAGAAAATTCAAACTGAGTTTCTTGAAAATAATTAGCCAACATTCAAACTACTCTAAAGATTCCTAAATTCAACACTTCAGTCTCTCTTTTCTTCACAAAGTATCCTTTTTGGAAGCATCACAATTCCTTTCCCTCTTCAAGAAATTTCACCAAACTCTCGATCGCGTTTCATAAGGGCTTTCAAACTGTCCAGCGTCCTTGCAAATCATCCATAGGTGTTCCAAAATCTATTTAATTTTCAGGTTATCTTATTGTTAGCGAGCTACTGATTTGAGTTCTTAAAAAGACCCATCAAAGGTGTTTATGCTTTTAGCTGCTCTCCTAAACCTCCACTCCTCATACAGTTTTGAGACTGTGCGGTATTCACAATTGAGGTGCATATAACACATAAAAGCTGATCTGGATAGACTGTTTTGAGCTTTTTCGAAAATGTGTTGAAAAATTTGAACAGAAGAATTTTCATACATTGATGTAGAAAAATTGCCCACAAAATTAGTACAAAAACATGTGAGATTTTTAATAGGCGCGAATTTCCAGATATTTGAGGGGCACAGTGATAATTATGATGGAGTAAAATGCACTTTTCGACACGTTTTGAGTATGTTTCTGAACACCTCTTAAATGGCATGTTACGATTTTCAGAGATGCTAAACATCTGCCTTAAGAATTTATATCAATCACTGATCCCTTGCACAGAGTTAACAATATTTTTAAGACAACAAAGTGACGCACTTTCAAAAAAGTGTTGCAAAAGTGTTGTTATCAAAACTGTACTAAAATTACTGCTAAAAAAACACAGAATAAAGTTGCTTTCGAGTGAGCGGATCAGTGTCGGCAATGTTGAGAAGTAAAGTAATCAAAATTCTATAGACTGCAACTGTTTTGCTGAAATACCTGACAATTTTTTTTGAATGACATGGGCTTTTCAAATGAATTGCTTATGCAAATAAATCATTGACATAAATTGTCTGAGGAAACTAAAAATAGTCGCGAGAAATTTTCAGAAACATTTAGTGCACTTTGTCTGAGATAAGAATATTTATCCAGCATTTCATGGAAGAATTTGGAGATAAAGTTTCTTGCTGTAATATGTCAGCAGAAAAATAAAGAGGCAGATTAAATCCATCGAACATAGGTATGGCCAAAATGTTTTGAGGTGAGGAAACATATAAAGCACCTCAAGAAATGAATTATAGAAAACCGCTATGTTTTGCTGAATTATTTGAATTTTTTCAAAAACTTGTGGTGCATTCCATTTGTGCGCTCCAGAGTAAAAAGAGATAAGCTTGAGATGTTAAAAAAAACAACCAAAATTAATCTTCTAGCAACAATTTCGGCGGCGCTTGCTGGAACAGAAAAATGCTATTTATATAATAGTCCTAAAGGAGTTCGTGCTTGAAACAAAAGATTGAAAAACAAACTTTCTGAAAACGGATTTGATGCAGTTTTCTGTGCGAACTTAGCAAAGCTTTCCAAACAATCTGAACTATTAATCGTAAATCATCCTTATAAGGTGCTTTTTGCAAAGTCATTGTGGGACAAAAAAATGTGTAGATTTTTCATTCAAGGAATTTTGTATGTTGATTTGCATCTAATAATGGTGAAGGAATATGGAGGTTTAAGAGGAATTGTGAGCTAACCTGTTCCAATGTAATCGAATTCGAGTTGCTTTTATAAAACGATTCGCTACACGAAAGATTAGCTTGTCTAGTGATTGCACTTTTTTGGTCATGCCACTTGATCAACATCGTCTAAGACAGGAATCACGACCATTGTGAGTCATCAGCTCGGTGCGCTTGCACCGGCACAAAACGACAGACATGTTGACACCCCTGGCGCGAGCGATGACGTCAGATGGGGGTGCTTGCGCTTTATATATATTATGATGATATCACAAAATTGGATCATTTTTGGCATACAGTAAGGAATGTACTTTAGGAAACGCTGTGCGAGTTTTTATCGCTCTATCTCTTATAGAATGTGATCTACAAGCATTTTCGGTTCAATTGCGCAATCGGTGCAGTAGATAAATGCTCTTTCAGAAAAACTCACCGCTCTATAAATTGTGAATGAACGGAGTCGCCTGTCAACAGGAGTTTCAAAGATGAGCTGAACACTTCTGTTTTCTGCGTATGACATACAAATCCAGATCCACAAAGGTGATCGGTCTAAGGTGCGAAACGGCGCAAATGCGTGCTCGAGCATCTTTCCATTAGAGTCCACACGCCCGCGAACGATGCGCGTACATAGACTGTTGCCTCCGTATCGAAGTCTTTTTGTAATCTCCTATGCTCTACTCTATTTCTTGCCGTCTACAATAGCTAACAAAAATGCAGATTTTCTTTGTATGCCGCGAAATTCCGGGGGTTTTGCGAAAGTCCGCAACGTTCTAGGAGTTTTGCGATATTCCGGAATTTCCGCGGAATCACGCGAATCACGCAAACTACACAACGCCATAACTCCATTCAGAATGAATAAATTCTGAATCCGAAAAGCATTTTGTTCAGCTTGTTAAGGCGAATCTTTTGATATACAGCATGTCCCCGATGTTCCTAGGAAATCCGCGGAATCCGCGTGAATCACGCAAACTACACAGCGCCATAAATCCATTCAGAATGAATAAATTCTGAATCCGATGCCGTTTCCAGTCTTCTCAAATTCTTCTGCGGAGATCTGTTTGCAAGGATGTAATGCCCCTATGAGCAAGTTTCCCGGGATGTTCGGGTTATTTCATTTTTCTCGTTTTACGCTCTGGAATCTCGCCGATGGATATTGGTTAAAATGTTGATGCTCTTGAATTGTAAGGAAACTTCGCTTATAGAGGTTTTCGAACAC